GCCCTCCTTTGGACACGCTCTAAGAGCTTAATATCTTCTATTGTGGTGCCCAAAACTGCACACAATATTCAAGGTGAGGCTGCACCAGTGCAGAGCAGAGCGGGACAATCCCCTCCCTTGACTGGCTGGCGATGGCTTTGCCTGATGCCCCCAGGACACGATTGGCCCTCCTGGCTGCCAGGGCACTGCTGACTCAGATTCAACTTGTCATCGACCAGGACTCCCAGGTTCCTTTCCATGGCACTGCTTTCCAGCATCTCATTCTCCAGTCTGTAGATACATCCTGGGTTGCCCCATCCCAGGTGCAGAATCCAGCATTTTTTGTTGAAATTCATCTGGTTGGTGATTGCCCAGTCCTCTCATTTGTTGAGGTCTCTCTGCAGGGCCTCCCTGGCTTCGACAGAGTCAGCAGCTCTTCCCAGTTTTGTGTCATCTGCAAACCTGCTTAGTATCCTTTCCAGTCCCGTGTCTGTGGTCGCATCCAGAGGGTAGTGGTCAATGGCTTAATGGGTGGAAATCAGTGACAAATGGGGTCCCTTAGGGGCCCATGTTGGGACCAGTGCTATTTAATATCTTAATCAGTGACACAGATAGCGGGATCGAGTGCACCCTCAGCAAACTTGCAGATGACACCAAGCTGAGTGGCACAGCTGACTCTCCTGAGAGATGGCATGCCCTCCAGAGGGACCTGGAGAAGCTCAAAAAGTGGGCTCATGGGAATTTCTTGAGATTTATCACAGCCAAGTGCTACACCTGGGTTGGGGCAATCCCAGAAATAAATACAGACTGGGAGAAGAACTTACTGAGAGAAGTCCTGAAGAGAAGGACTTGAGGGCGAATGAAAAGCCAGACATGACCTGACAATGTGCACTTGCAGCCCAGAAAGCCAATCGTGTCCTGAGCTGCGTCAAAAGAGGAGTGGCCAGCAGGTAGAGTGATTCTGCCTCTCTAATCCACTCCGATGAGATCGACCTGGAGTCCTGTGTCCAGCTCTGGGATCCTCAGCACAGGAAAGACATGTACCTGTTGGAGCTGGTCTAGAGCAGAGCCACCAAGATGATTAGAGGGATGGAGCATCTCTCCTATGAAGAGAGACTGACAGAGCTGGGGTTGTTCAGCCTAGGGAAGAGAAGGCTTCAGGAAGACATCATTGCAGCCTGTCAGTACTTGAAAACGGCCAACAAGAAAGATGGGGACAAACCTTTTAGCAGGACTTGTGATAGGACAAGGGGTAATGGTTTTAAACTGAAAGAGGGTCAATTTAGATCAGATATAATTTTTTTTTTATGATAAGGGTAGCAAAACATTGGCACAGGTTGCTCAGAGAGGTGGTGGGTGCCCCATCTGTGGAAACATTCAAGGTCAGGTTGGTTGTGGCTCTGAGCAACCTGATCTAGTTAAAGATGTCCCTGTTCATTGCAAGGGGGTTAGACTAGATGATCCCTGAAGGTCCATTCCAACACAAAGTATTCTATGATTCTATGATTTATTTATCTACCTGTACATACATGCAGACAGTGCATTGGTAAATGCACTGTATTTAAATATTAAATACAGGTTAAATCAGGTTTAAATCAAGGGCGTATTAAATCAGGTTATGTTCAGTTAATGTGTTTTCTTGATAAAATTTCATAGTAAATCAAAGAGCCTAGATGCATTTAGATCATATCTAGGGATGCCAGAATGCATAAAGAAGATTGAGGGCGGCTGGATTATATTACTGAATCCTACTTAACACTTCTAAAAGACGGGAGAGCATCAACACTCTTAATAAGGAAAACACTGGGCAGTGAGGGATGACTTCTCTTGGCTTACTCAGTTGCTATCTGTGGTGAATTTAGGCTATGCCATTTACTTTACTGTGTTTATCACTCCCTTGATTTCCCATCTGTTTGTTTCTTTTTTAACACTTATTTCAATCATTGTTTGGGTTATGCTGCAGACTGAACTTCAGAACATAAAAAATTATTTGTAAGGAATGGGCAGTATTATATTTCTAAAAAAGTGTATTTAATAATTCCCAATATCTACAAGTTCACAGGTAGTTGTCATGAATTAGCTAGCACTAAGTAGTTCACTTTGCCATTATACAAAACTGTAGGTTACCTTTTATTATGGGAGATTAAATTCAAGTCTATGTGGGTGAAACCTATCTCAGTAGCCTCATCTACCTTTTGGACTCCTGTAATACAAGATACACAGAGAGCTTTAGTGTCTCCATTACCAGAAGTCAAATAATGACCATTTGGAGGGATTCTATCATATTACAGGAAAACACCCCATGGTAACTTGAACCGCTACAGTCATTAAAACAAAATTCCTTGAAATATTAGTCCATTTTTATTATTTATGTGTTGACTTAACTGAGATTAGAAGATTGCTTTTCGCTTCTGTCTTAGTGAAAGATGAATAGTTTAATTTTCTCACTAATATTTTCAGTTGCATAACCCGGTGAAACAGCAGCAGGCTGTCCAACCCTCTCCTTAGCACTACCTCAATGTCATATTAATTTCCTGGTCATTTCCTGGTGACCACTTACTATGTCACTTAACTCTCTTGTCTTTTCAGTTTCTCGGGCATAGTCGTTTCTAAATGCTGGATGCTCATAACTTCTTTGCTAAATGGAGGGTGATAGTGGATCTTTCCCATCCCCCAATTACAGCAGTGATACCAGGAATGCTAGGATATGTTCAGGGACTGTCATTTCAGCTGTAAATACCTTCTGGAGGTCAGACAGTTCAAAGTCCACTGGGATAAAGGAAAAGAGCTTGGATTGCTAATGTGTTGTAGTGAAAAATCATTTTTTTGTATCTATCTGAGGCATTTCTCTAGTGCTTCTTTCCGCTGTGTACAATATATATGTCACAGACAAACTGCATGTATTAATATCACAAAAGCATGGCTTATAGTTATAGTCATAAAGCACAGGCATGATTGCAGAGACTTAATTCCTGATATAAATAACATGCACTAGAGAGTTTTACTAAAGACATGTTAATTTCTAGGCAATAACAATGCTCTTGAAGTTATGACCACTGTAAAAAATGTAAGATAAAAAGCCTGCCATATGTCTTGTCATTGCCCAGAATATAACAAAGCCTTTTCATTTTCCCCTTCTTTTAATCTTTTGTATGCTGGTGTTTTCCTCAGAGCTTGCTAGACTCTTTGGTCAAATACCAGTTTTACTGGCACATACTACTACAACTGCTGATGGGGCTACCCATGGAGACTACACAGAATGTTCGGGGTTAACAAGGCTTTTTGTGTGTGTAAAAACGCATTGCATATTTCAAGACAGCTCTTTTTCTGCATGCTTCTTAGATGGGAAAGGATGAGTTAACAAGAACAGCTGAAAAGTGAAAGAATGAAATACAAACCCATCTTTTCTCATCTAGAAAAATGTTTGCAAGAAAGAAGAGGTTTATTTCCAGGCTGAAATGACGTTCACACCGTGTTTGCTTGGAAACATCCTGCTCTTTCAATGGCATGCTTTGGTTGGTAAACAACCATTAAAATTCTGAGCAGATCTGCATAGCTTGCAGGAAAACCTCTCAAAACAGCTGCAGCCTCCTTTCAACAGATGGGAATTAATAATAGCCTTTGTTCTCCAGGTTCTTCCATTTTTACCCACAAAATGGGTGAAAGCTGCTTTTCCTACACCACTGGTGCCCACAGGAGCATGACCCCTCCTGTAGTGTGAGCTGTGGGTTGAGGATGAGCAGAGGAGGGTGTACGTGGCACCAGCCTCTGTCTTTCCCCTCCCCCTTGCTGGCCCCTGCAGATAACAGTGTGGAGTCCAGCTGATACAGTGAGATGTGGACCCGCTTTCACCCCTTACCTCCCTCTCATCTCTCCTTTAGGTGCATTGAGGATGCTTTTGGTGTCTGCTGTATCTCCAGAAGATGTGCATTTGGGACTGAGGGTACAGCTTGGTGCATGGCCAAAGTGCCACAGTAGGCTCGAGGACTTTCAGCAAAGGATGATGGTGCATCACCAGCATGGATGATAGGCTCATCCCTGCTGGCTAAGAGAAGCTGTCAAGTGGTGTGAGGCATTCCTGAGCCCTGGGCATGGAGTCAAGCCCTGATCTCTGTAGGTGCCTGCACTGATGAGGGGTGAGGGCCTGCACCAGCAGGTGACTCTTGCTGAGCCCCTCTTTATTTACCCAGAATGTATTGTTTTGACTGCCACAGCTACAAATTTCTGCTAAAATGTCTGGCCAGGCCCTTTACCCTATGCTTGATAACTTTGCACTGAACTTTTGCCTCTCCTAATGGAAGAATTTCCAAGTATGTCTCTTACTTTCCCAAAGACCCAGAGGCTGAGCTGGGTCAACATTTCTGTCACCTGGAGTCACCCCCATCCCTACTGCCTCCTTCCTGCCAAGCATCCCTGTGCCCTGGACTTTTGTCTTTACACTCCCCATGAACTGGGACCCGACTGTTGTAGAAGCCACCAGCCTGTGATGCCTCAAGACAGCACTGCCCCCTGAGACCACACGGAATCGAAAACAAGAGGGAAGCATGTGACATGCAGAGACAAAATGTTCTTGGCTCCCCAAGTTGATGAGAACCTGCCAAAAATCCCTTGGTGATCACAGAGTGCTGCAAAATCTTCCCGTTCACTAGCACTTTCCCACCCTCCCTGTGCGGGAGGATAAACAAGCACTGCTCGGCACAGGCGGGGGGAGCGGTGAGGCCTCGAGGGTCTCCTGCCGGCGGGGCGGGGGCAGAGCGGGGGGGAGTGTCCCTCACCGGCAGTCGCCGCAGTCCCCCAGTCCCCGCAAGCCCGCAGCAGCAGCCCGCGCCTTCCGCGTCCCCCGCGGCTCCGCAGCCCCTGCAGTCCGCAATCCCCCCGCCCCGCAGCCCGAGGCCGCCCCGAGGCCCCGCGGTGCTCTCCCCGCTCCCCATTAGAGGGCGCTCCGCCGCCGCCTTTGTGCGGGGCGGTGGCTCCAGGGCGTCCCGGGCAGCCGCCCATCCCAGCCCTTGCTGCCGTGCGAGCGCCCTGGCCGCAGCAGCAGTGCCACCCGCGGCCTGCGCCGCAGCGCTTAACGAGGTCAGCGAAGTTCTCTGTTACGACTTGTTAGGTGCGTTAAATGTGGTTAATTTGCTTCTGCTGCTGTGTTTAATTTCTGTTTAGGAACCTGAAAGTTAGTGCTTCAATATTGTGATTACCCCTTCCCTCTGTTTTAAAATACAGAACGAACAAATTTTTCTTGCTGATTAGTAGAATCTGCAGAACACATCCGTGAACAACAAGCTTTCTGTAGTGTAAGCTGCTGAGGTCTGCTGAATGTCTTTCATACTGCCATTTGATTCAAGAGGAGGAAGGCATTTCTCAATCCTTTTTAATTTCAGTAATTTCCTTGCATTGTTTGGAATGATTTAGACTTTTTAATTTTTTTATGTACGTGTTGATGACGTATGCCTCAAAATCTTTTTACTCCAGCTATTGTCAGATGCCCAACTGTACAAGGATGTGAGGTTCTAACTAATTCAGATGGCAGTACTGGAATTGTTGCGGAGAAACAAGAAGAGACTTTCTGCAGGGTAAATCTCAAAGAGACTGAATTTTCTTTTCTCGTTCTCTTTGCCTATGACTGTTCTGATATTATGCTATTTCTTCATACAAAAAAAAAAGTCATGGGTTATGAAAATTACAGCCACATGTATCTGCTCTTTTTTTTTCTTTCATAGTGAGATGAAAGCAGGAAGGATGCTTATGGTGCTTGATGATAAGTTGATGGAACTGTCAACTTAAGGACAATAGGAAGCATTTTGATGCAGCAGTGTGACATCTCTTAACATCTAGCAGTATATGTGTATTGTGGACTAGCTAGGGATGTATCCTGTATTGTACTTAGTAGGGAGCACCTCCACTTTCCGTTACTAGTGTATGATGTTTTGCAATCAGCTAAGGAAATAGTCTACAATGTTAGACTTGCAGTATTTTGGGAATGCAAACAGTTCTCAGGTAAAACTGGTTTTGCCTATTTTCTCATGGCCACCAAAGCTGTTGCCCAGACAAGTCCCAGTTGTCCTCTAGATGCGGAAGTCTCCAAGGGATCAGCAGGGGGGCAGTAAGCAATTCAAACTGATCACCATCAGCGGCCATCTACTGCTGCTGCTCTTTTCTGATGACTCATATAATAGCCTTGTTTGGTTCCATTTTATAGAAAGAACAAACATTGCCTCAGTGGAAGAAAAAGGGAACAGAAGCAAACTGAAAATGTTTGTACTTTCTAAAGGAAGAAAAAGTCAAGATGTTGTCTTTCAAGGATGACTGTTCTTCGGGTACATTGGTTGGGATGCAATCAGGTACTGTGTCTGAAGTGCACTCAAGATAAATTTAATATAAGTTCATATTAGGCTTCCACTTCTTTTCAGATTCGTAAACATTTAGAGTTTAGACACATCACTTAGCTACCTGAGTCATAAGTTAGTAGAAATCAAAGAAATAAATCCCACATCCTTGCAAATTCCATCACAAGATACACTGAAAGTACGCATATGGTTTCCTTGTAATCAGTTTGCTAAAAGGAGAAGTATATATGGAAGTGCAAAGAGAAGCTTGTATTCTCCCAAGGAGGAAGAATATTAGTTTACTGTGATACATATTCCTATTAACTTAATTGAGACTGGTTAAGTAAACATACTCATAGTATGCTTGCAGTACAGGACACATGTACAATATAGCTTTTCGGGGACTTATAACTGTGAAAGGTGTTGCAAAACATCTGCTTTGCTTTACTGGAAAAGTCTGGTCACATTTCAGGGACAAGTCCCAGAAGAAATGGTGAAAGAAGGAAAAACTGTATTTTTTGTATTTTCTGTTCTGCCTTAAAATTAAAGCAAAGAGTAAAACATATGAAAAAAGTTTCACTAGAAAGAATAAAATGGAAAGTCTGATAGTTCAGGATCAAGAATAATAAAATCAAACCCCCAAACCAGTGAATAGTAGTTGAGTAATACAGGAATCCATGCATATAGAGTAATTAGGCAACTGATGATTTCAGAGAAAAGAGAAAAGCAAAGTGGATTGCCTCCATCAGGACAAATAGAAAGGATTGTAACAGTAAGCTGAGGAAATAGTACTTAGTACTTGGTAGAAAGTCCATCTCTTAATAAATTGGGATGGAATTTTAACAGAGACTTAGTATGGTTGAAACACTGAACTTGCTTTGCTTTCATCTGAACAAAAATAATACACAAAGTGGATGGGGAAAAAAAGAAGCTGTAAATGCAAAAGAAATAACCTAGAAAAAAAAAGGAATGGGAACAAAAATATTGAAAGTCTAGACGCATATGGGTCACCTGGATGACACACATCCTGAGGTGTTAAAGATGCTGTTTCCTGAATAATTTTCTGTCACTTACAACTATTAGAAAACAGTGGGCAACTGTGGAAGTGCTGAAAGATGGAAGGAAAGGAAATACCACACTCCATTTCTAAAACAGAAGGCAAACAAATTCTAGCAATTCTATCTGGGTATATGGGACCCAGCTCTCCCCAAAAGGTAGAGCCTGTAGGAGCACCCCCTTCCCTTCTTTATCCTCTTTCTGTCTCAGCTCAAGGAAGCACCTCAGCTCCTCAAGACCAAGTTTACCTTAAATTATCCATAAACTTAAGTGTAAATGCTTATTTGGATCTGCACCCCTGAAAAGAAAATAATTTCTGAATATTTCTGAATTCTCAGATTTTTGGCAATGGAAAATGAAAATGCAGATACACAGGAGATGCTAGAGAAAGAGATGAATGGGATATAAATACTATTTTGCTTGATATTAAACATCCGGGATTAGCACAGCAAAATGCAGATGATCTGAAAACGAATAGAGTGAAAATATATTGGTGCAGTGTATCACAGTTTCAGGAGTAAAGCCAAAAATCTGCAGGATTAAAAAAAACCAACCCAAAATAACCCTATTCCTCAGGCAAGATGGTATTGATTTTGTCTTTTGTGTGCTGAATAAACTGGGGAGGTACAAAAGAAATAATGAGATTCATTTGCTATTTTTAATATGCAGCAATGAATTTTAGTCCCTAAAGTGCCTCAGCGGGTGAAGATGTGATTGTGGAATAAAGAGAGCCATGGAAATTCAAAATGATGAACAGCTCAACAAAAACTTACAATCTACTGGCATTATGAAGAATATCAGAATATTATTAATTGTGGTAATTTTTTCCCTGTTTCAAGAGAGCTCTTCTCTTTTGGGAATGTAAATATACTTGCTGCAGCTTTATTAAAGGGTTTTCATAAACTAAGTTTCATTAAAGAGAAGATCTGCAGCATTTCATCATGCCTCTAATGTCTGATTTGGACAGATCAGCTCCTTAATCTAAGCTTCTGATACTTGTGTAGCCCTGATTCAGGGAAGCATTTATATTCAGAAGCAGCCCTTACACAGACACAAGTGATTTTCTAAATGGGAAAGGCCTCAAAGACATATTTAAATTCTTGCTTGGCTCAGGGGTTGCTTGCTGTCTTTTGTGATGCTGTGAAACAGAAACAAAAGTGATGATTACTGAGGTACGAGCTGTGAACTGTAGCAGTTCCAGTTGGAGAAGCCCTGCTCTCTGAGCTTGACTTAATAATACTTAATATTATAATAATACTTAAGTATCTGTGACCCTGCTTTTACAAGGTTTGTTTCTTTTTCTTCCTTGAGAACCTAACAGTGCATAAAAACCCCAAATCCAACCAAAACCAAACAAATAAGTCACACCAAAACCAAGGGCAGACATACAAATTTTGAGTTCAGCTGTTGAGTAGAAAGGAGTATCTCCAGGTCTGTCTTGGGAGAAATTATATCTTGTGGGAATAACACTGTTTCATGTGAGGAGACTTTCATTCAGCAGCGCTTTACTCCCATGGAATAACTCAGATGATGTCTGCAGAGCAAGATTTACCATCCTGGAAATCCAAAATTCCCTTTTTTCACTGCAGGCCAGGGTGAGGCAGGGAGAGTCTCCCTGGTGGTTCAGGCTGCAGTCTGCGTAGGAGCACCCCAAGGAAGGGGGGTTTGGCCTGCTTTAGAACATGGGGAAGTACAGGGACACCCAGATGGGGGGCATGAAGCTGCCCCATTGCTGAAGGCCTGCAGGGGAGGGATGCAGGGCCAAGGAGTGCAGTGAAGTGGGAGCACTTCTGCTTCTGCCTCTCCATTTTCCCTTGTCTTGTCATCTCCTCAAAGTGTTTCTCCCTCAGCCCCCGCAGAGTCACAGGAAACCTCACCCACTCTACTTATTTTTGCCTGTTGGCATGTGGGCAGGTATACCTGTGTGCCTTAGCTCAGCACTGCATCATGGAGCAAGCACTTTTGTTCAGAGTTCTTTTTAAAGCTATTAAAATTAAAAAAAAAAGGAAAAAAAAAGAAAAAAGAAGAAAAAAAAAAACAAAACCATGCACCCTAAGCCTGAATAAGCAGCATTTCTATCATCTGTTGTCATGACACACAGCTGACGTGGGAACACGGCAGTAAGGCTGACTGCTATATGGGTTTAATTTTGGTGCAGAAATTTGCTAGAAGAAGCTTTCAAAAATATCTCTGGGTGGGAGGAAAACAGGTGGGTGCTGGTTATGTGTATGAAGCAAGAGGAAATAGTTGTCAGTCTTACCTAAGCATTACTCTCCGTCCATCAGCCCTTTGGTACCCTCACTACTCAACAGGGGAAGTAAATGGTGCTCCTCTTGGTGCTCCTCTCTCCTTTTACTTCTTGAGAAGGTGCTGGTGAGCCATAGAGTGCAGGAAAACTTAGCATGGGGTGACTGAATAGAACCATGGTCGTCTTGGTCAGAACAACACACCCTCGCTGTGTGGTTTCAGTAAAGATGTCTGTACAGGAAGGCAATCGGTCATTGGAGCCAAACGCCACTGAAATCCACTGAGTAGAGGCTTCTGTGCCAGTAGCATCTAAAATGACAGCTGACGTTTGAGACAGGTGGTGAGTAGCGTATGGTCTGTAGGGACTCCTAGGCTAACCTAATTTCTGTGGTTGTCCATGTAGGTGGGTGTGTGTACTCAGTTCACCCTATTGTTCAGGTGGTCCATTCAGCCCTGTGTACCTATGCGACATACACACTTTTGTTTCAAAAGTGTCTTTTCTGTCCCTCTTAATGAACCTAGGTAAGTCAGACCTAGTCTCGTTTTTAGACACTCCTGAGCTATCACAGCTTCCACTGGATATGAAAGAGTGCAGGTGTTCAGAAATATTCTCTAAAAATCACTATGCTAACCTATTTGAAGTTCATTTTTTTTTACTGCAATTACTTGCTATTAGTACATTTCTCATCTGTTAGTCATCTTGACTAATGACTTTACTCATCTGTACTAGTTTACTCACCCATTTCAATACTTTCCTAGATCACAGGAACATTTTGTGACTTAATTAGTCAGTTGGAAGCTCAGAGGTCTTTGAATGAAAAGTGTTATGTCTTACAGGAGCAAAATACTATGATTACATGACTGAAAACCATGATTTAGTATAGGGACTTTTTTTCTCCTCCATGGATGTTTGGACATCCATGATGACTATGATAACTATGATAACTAGATAACCATAGTGGCAAAACTGAAACCCCCGAAGTGAGAAGTTTGAAAGAGGACATCCAGTGTTGCAAATTGGTAGTGTGTACTGAGATGGAGGCAGAAGAAGAAAAGAAAGAGCTTGTTTGGAGAGGTGGTGCACTGGAACAGAAGGACATATAACTCTGTGAGGAGAGTAATTCAGAGTGCCTCTTGTGGAGTAAAGCTTGCACCTAATGTAGTCATAAAGCCAAGGGAACCTATAGCATTTTACTTTGTCCCATTTTCATTGTGTTTCAACTCATTCTGAAAATCTGGCTTTTCCCATACCCGTGCCTCTGTTTCCCCAATGTGTGAAATTGTCTCTTTAGGGGTCCCGAAGGAGAAACCTTGGTGAGTGGAAAATTTGATAGCAATATATCCTTTGCAACTTAGCTTTTTGGTTTTGGTCCTGTCTCTTTGTACTTCTTTGATTCTCCTGCTGCTTTCAGTTTCCAGCCTCTACATTGAATATCCCATAATGCGCTCAATAAAATTGAATAGTTTCCACTTAGAATTCTAAAAATGGCTTGCCATTTCCAGAAAGTGACAGTATCAATATTATGTTCAGTCTCTTATGCAAATTGCCACCCTGTTGCTACTTACAAAATCATCTCATATTTCTCTAAAATCAGGCTCCGCATTCTTCCACTCAGATGCTCTGGAACTCCTGACCTTCCTACTGGAGGTGTGCAAACCATTGGCATTCACCTTAGTGCTGTCCAGAGTGGATCTTAATCATATAAGTCTATATGAGTGGTATGAACAGTCATCCACTGGGGAACTGCTCTTGCTGTCCTCCCCTTTGCACATTAAGAGAAATAAAGAGAACGAATATAGTTTGTCTGAATTCTTGTCACATTTTTTTTCTTTTCTGTCTTTTTTTTTTTGTGTCCTTTCTTTTCCTGTCTAAATTCTAGAGAGCTGGTTAAAAAATCAGTACTGAGTTTGTCATTGGGGAAATACAGCCATCTGGGAAAAGTATAAGCTCTGGCTGTAGGGGTGATCTAGCTTCCCATGCTAAACAAAGACACTGATTTTCCCTTTCTCCTAGTTATTGCACTTAACATAATTTTTTCAAGCCACCTTGAAAAAACAGCCTGGAATAGCATTCTTCCTATATGAACAACTCTATCTTTAGTAGAAATATGGCTTTCCTTTACGTGAGTAGCAGCCATGTGCTCTCAGTCAGAATACCCCACATGAGAAAGGACTCAATTACATTCTTAAGAAGCACATTTTCTTTGTAGACTGTCTGCTCCAAACTGAAGACAAAATGACTGAAGACAGCAGATGTCTCAGAGATATAAATGCTCGCCAACCCTGAATCAAAGTCCCATCATAGTTGAATACCCTGCTGTATAGAGACAATATTGACTGTCTTTGTGTTTGTTTGGTTTTTGCGTAGGGGGTTGAAAATGCTAGTGAGGTTTAAACACTTCTTTAGAGTCATTACAAGATATTGTGCAAATACAGTTATTTTTCCCTGGTAAGCAGGCATGAAATGCACATTTGCTTATCAGAATGGAACAGTTCCAGGGGAGGCCTTGATGTCTGTCAGGTGAATCATCTAATCTCCAGATTTAATGTATTGAACTGGGTAAATAAGTAACTTTTTGGAGATGTCTAAATATACATTTCCCTGAGAGGGTAATGTGCTGGTTTAGAGGTAAACCAGCAGGGGAAATGAATAACTCAAAAGAGATTATAAATCGTAGTTACAATTTAGTAAAAATAATACAATAAATACAGTTATACAGAGAAACAATTGGTTTTAATCCACAAAACCCAGATGTATAACCCAGCACCCTGGGGCATGAACAGAGTGGTGTTCGTTGGCCCCTGTGCTGAGCCCCATGTGGTCCCCCTGAGTCCAAGGTAAGAGAAAAGGAGGACATGTTAGTGAGAGTGCTGGTTGCAATCTGGTCGAGGGTGGTGATCGCAGTCTGGTCAAGGGTGGTGGTTGCAGTCCGGTCGAGGTTCTGGTCCTCCTCTGGATCTGACGAGCAGGCCCAGAAGTCCCAAGACCCCAAGGTTATACACACTCAAGTTCGAGTGGAAATGCCCAGTACCTCCCCCAGGGCGGGGAGTTCCACATTGGGCGATTATGAGTCGTGAGATATTTTTGGAATCCTTGGTGGCCCATTAGCAGACATGACCCCTCAGGCTGGGCGTGGAGGTGCTAATGACTCCCTGGAGGGGAGTCATCACACCTGAGTCACTGGTGTGAGAACAGGAACATCCTCCTATCTCATAGGCTTGCTAACATCCACCTTATAGCCTGAGGGGTCAGGTGTGCTCTGAGCAGCTGCTGCAAATGGTCTATTGTTAACAGTTCCTGGGAAATGACACAGAGGGTGTAGAATACACAGTCTGGGTTACACCCACACAGTGATGAACTGGTCCCGGCTGCTCTAACTAGGACAAGTTAATAAATAATTCTTATATGAAGATTGCTATTTTGTTTAAAGGTATAATCACCTGAATAAATAATTGTGATATAACCACGTGGTGAACACACTAAACATACTTATTTCCAACATTCCTCAGTGTAAAGATGCTTATTGCCAAGCTGCATCAGCCATTTAAGATTTAATAATCATAA